ACCACTGTTACGGGCTCATCATAGCCAGTGCTACTTGGAACTTTTTTTTCTGAGTAGCTGAATCTAAAACAACAACAGTTACCACTGCGCCACGGGAATGGTAACCACGCTCTTAGCAAGGGAAGGCCTGCGTGAAGAGTCCACAGGTTCCAGAGGCGCGAGGGGTAACTGCTGGAGGTTGTCAACGGTTAAGAGGACGTGAGATCATCGGTTGTACTCCATAAAGATCTTGTTCAAGAAGGGGAATGATCTAGACGTTTGTGGGGAACACGCCAAAGCTGCAAAGACGGTTGCCGGTTAGACTACATATTCTTATTTCTTCAGCACCTGCATTGTACCTGTATCGGGTTCTGGGATTTCTTCTACTCCTCAAGCTCGGTCCGGGGCCAGGCTCGATTTGTGAGACCTTGGTGCAACAGGCTGTTGCTTAGAGCGGCCTGCAGCCCCACATATCTACTACAGCTAGGTTAGTCTGGCACTTCTTGCAGAAAACTGTCCAGTTTTTTCTTGAAGACTTCCACTTTTGTTCCAGTAATATTTTTTACAGTGCCATGCTGCATGTCGTATTCTGGGCTCTGTGGCACAGGGCAGGGAGGAGGTTTGTTACAACTCACATAGAAAAAAAAATGAGCCGCCTTTATTACGATGCCTCTCATTGCGCCCATATGCACAAAAATAACAGAGGTGCCTTTATGATGTCTGCATGGATGCAATCACATGTACAGCACGACGGTAGCATTTTCTACGAATGCCTATAATGCCTAAAAATTTAGAACCAATTCATTAAATTAATAATGATATAATAATCAAATCTTAGTCAATTAACCCATGATTGTCTATTGTAGGTAGAGCGAGCACGTTTTATTTCATTATGCAACACTTCCACCGTCACCAAATATGATTGTTATTTAATAAACAAAAATTTAATGTATCTAGGTCAATACAAGTGTAAATTGCGTTTCATAAAACACATGATGCCTAATTCCTGAAATCATTATGTAACTAATTTTGTCGTCACATCCAATAAGATGAATAGGCTAGGACCTAGGCTATGTGGGCTAGCCTATTGAGGTATTATGATATAATTGGAGTTATTAATGTTAATTCACAAAGTGCTTGCATTTAATCAGCGTTAGGAAACAATGGAATATTCTACAATACAACAATATTACGAGTGATACTTGTTATCCAGTAGAGTTGTGAAGTGTCAGAGATTAAGCCTGTGTTGTAGAATTTAGTAGAGTGCAGCTACATCAAGGATCAGTGGGTACGATACTCTTGGATAATGAAAAAGACCCGACGAATTCAAATATTTATTTATACTACTCTTGGCAATATCATAAACAGAAGATTAATATGCTTTAAACATCGAAACAATCACAAAGTTTCTATAAATTACTTAAACCCGAGATGATGCCTTCCTGGAAGCAACTCCTCTTGAAAGCATTTATCCCAGCTCTCCCTAGAAGTAGTTCTTCCTGGATGCAGCTCTCTTCGGATGTAGCTCTTTGCAGCTCTCCCTGGATTTTCTTTTCTTGGAATTAGCTCTCCTTGGAAGCATTTCTCCATGGAAGAGGCTTTCCCTGTAAGCAGCTCTCCTTGAATGCAGCTCTCCTTGGAAGCAACTTCACGCCTTGACCAGTCTCCTATTAACTAACAATCACAACACACTCGTTAACATAGGCAACACAGGTTTTATTTGCCAATATGTAATCACTGCACTGTTGTCGGCACGACCTGGTTCCCTAGCCAACTCCTGGATACTGTTTGTTAGCCCACTTCTGATCGCGAACCCGGTGGTTAGTTAACAGCCGACAGGGGTAACCAAGCAACGCGTCGTTCTTGGTCATCACCTGGTCCCCATCAAACTCTTGATGTTTGACGAACTCAGCCCACTAACCAACAGGCTCACTTTGCTAACACACGGTAATCAGCTAGTAACCCGGTGACAAACTAACCTCTTGTTACTAACGAATGCCTTGTTTGTTAGCAAGCACCATCTTCAGGATGTTATTCAAAGTCTTAACACCTGAGCTCTATCTTAATGTCATTTTAACAGCAAACGTCTGGTCACAAGATGCAACAGCTGGGAGTAGGCAAACATCCAATCATAAATCAACACCTAGTTACTAGTCAATGCTTGGCAAGGATACTTAGCCAATGAAAAATTTTGACTGTGGATTATGTTTGTCCGTTTTTTATCTCGCATTTACCGCGATATATGGCTCTTTTTCTTCCAAGATTTATTTCAAGATACAAAGAAACACATGGGTTAATTTTTCGCTCTGATACTTGTTATCACTGTTATTTTTGAAAATTTAGTATCCGGACACCGGTGCGGCATTTTAGCGAAAATACTAGTCTTGCGTAAAACGTCTAAAAGGGACATTTACTAACACTTGAAACACTACATTTTTTATAGCTTTTCTTTAAATTTAAATATTCACGTATTGACATAGAAGAGTACAATACGAAAAATAGGAATGCAAATATGGTTCAAATTGTAAAGAACTTGCGGCTCTGATAAATAGTGATAATTAAAATGTCCACGTCCGTATATTAATAGCTGTGACAGACATTAATTTAATAATAGGATTTCGATGCAGATAGCAATGCCACTGTTTCTCTAACATATATCACTAAATAACATATCTCGTTCTCCGTTGTCTCATTAAATTATACCCAGGAGCGCGGGAACGCACTTAGCAAGAATTCGTACCAAAAGAGTCCATGTGCCGGACAAGTGCACCATCGACGTCATCATACTCAAGCCACAAAGTAACTTCTTGGTACTGTTAACTTAAAGAGTTGTTGCTGAGCTTATAGTTACCACTGGCATTTCATCAATTTATTTAGCTGGCTTCAAAATAGGTTGTGACTAACTACCGTAGGTCTTTCTTAATATTTTAATTTTGTCCTTAATATTGCATGTATACAACCCATTCTCACGTTTGAGCTTTACCTGTATGTACATATTAAAAAGTCAGCTTTGCTTGTAAATAATTTAGTATGAATATGCGCTTACGGTAAATTTTAAAGGGTAGAAATAAAAAAAAAGAGAGAGCCTAATCTAAACTTAGCCTGACTTATCCTAGCATCCTGTCCTCTGGGAGGAGGTACCCTGGAGGTAATCACTTCAAAATCACTACATAATTAGTGCTATTATCTACTCCATCCCCATGATTAGAATAGGTTAAGGTAGATTAAGGTTAGGTTTCATTTCATTACTTTTGGTTACATTAATATGGTGTATTATTCTCAAACGTGAAATATTTAATTATAAAACTATTTGAGTATCCCCTAGAATTTCATTTACAGAAAACGAACTGCTTCAGACCGTTTCAAAGAAAGCGAACTAGTCATTTTATATTTTAAACCAACTATTTATAATACAATAAAGTATTATAAGTCGTATTAAAAATAATATGAACTCATATTATCTAGATATTTGTGATGGTCTGAAAGCATATTATGATTCCTGTAATAATTTACTTGTAAACTAACAAGTGAACCTTTGTCCTAAACTGAGACTGATGGATGCCTACTACTAAAGTTATAACTTGATAATATTCTCAGTTTAGGATAAAGGTTCACGTGTCAGTTTACAAGTAGATTATTACAGGAACCGTAATATGCTTTCAGGCCATCACAAATATCTAGATTATTATCCAGTTGGTGCGAGGATGAATTTGGTGTCTTGTGATAATAACTTTACCCCGAGGACGGGCTCATCTTAGACTTAACTGAACTTAACCTAGGAATATTAGGTTATGTTAGGTCTGAATTAAGTCAGGCTTGTATTTTTGTTTTTGCCTTCTAAAATATTCAGATTTTCATGTTGAAATTGAGTTTTTAAGTTTATTTTTAAATTGAAGTGTTTTGTTACAAAATAAACTTTTCGATATTTACATATTAGTATACACTTATATGAGAAAGGGTTATATATATATATTTAAGGGTTGCATAACACCTGCACAACTTTTTTTTTTTTTTGGGGGGGGGGAGGAGGATATTCCTGCTCGGGCCCTAAGCCTCTGCCTGGCCCACTAAGTGTTACTCGTTTCTGTCTTACTTTCACGATGTAAAGCCGCATAACTAGTGATATTAGTAATAACATAAGTACAGCGACTGTGTTGTTGCCATTGGAATCTGGACACAGGTGAAATATATTCATTATGGTATATAGGAAGGGGAGAACATGTAAGGGTTTTGGAAAAAAATATAAGCACAAATAAATCACATGTAGCCAGGGTTAATTTGGTATTAGGCGATTTTGCATGTTTCACTGACAATATTTCTAAAACTTTTATAGAATTTTTAAGACATCATCTGAGCGTACAAAACCGTCATAAATTTTGCATAGTAAAATTCACTGAATCTACAGTGGCATCTTTCATATATCTGCATTTTGCAGGAACAAAATTTTGCTTTAAGCCCATCTACCAATCCTAGGTGTTCGTAAACAGATTCCTGAAGGACTCGTATGAGACAAAATCTTTATGAACGATTTCTTAGTGTTAATTGCCAAGGGCATTGTCTAGTAACTAACGAACACTTGGTCTTAAATTCCTCTCTTTATCTACCATTACTTATATACTGTAGTTACATACTCATTAGGCTATCGTCCACATGTCATTAATAATTTCATAACCCCAATACCGTACTCTGGAACACACAAATGCGAGCATAGCTTAGCAATATATATTAATGTTTTTGTTATTTTTTTTACGTTTTGACTCCTTTCCTAGTGCTTTATTGGACCTCTCACATGAATGTAAAAATAATACAAGATATACAACGGTGGAACACACAGCAACGTGAATGATACAAAGGACATATCGGGGGATACAAGTCCCGAGGGTCCTGGACACTGGGCGGTACGACAGGCCGCCCTTACACCCACCCACACTTACCAACAATACCCCCACACCCCCCACACATGCCCACGACCTCCCCCCACCCACACACACATGCCCACAACCCCCCCTCCTCCCCCCACACATGCCCACCACACTCCCACTCTCGCCCACAACACTACTACTAATTCAACTTTCCTTGCTTTTAGAAAGTCTTTATCTTTCCGTCCACTTAGTATTGTTTCTGCATGACCGATAGATTGCCAGTTTCCAAATACTATATTCTTTGTTTCAAGAAGAATGTCTGTTGTGTACTGTTAATTGTTCATATTAATTGTAGACACAACAGGGATCGATACTGTTTTGAATATTTTTTTTTTTCATTTTAGGAAACTGTATATTAATTTAAATTTATGGAGCCTAGTGATCATGTTTTGCGAATGTTTATAACAGTTTGAGCACAAGTCACTGACCAATCCCTCTAACACTGGCTGTCGGTGCCTGACATTTAGCGCCCGTGTCAGATCCTCTCTGGAGACAGTGGACTGATGGCTCTGCCTATATCAGCAGAGTCGCAGATGGTCACCGTTTTCTTGGTTCGCGTGGATAACATGGGCGTCTGTGTGGGCGTGATGGAGGAAGGCGGGATGGTGGGCGGCGGTACAGCCTTCAGTGTGGGCATCTCCTTGCGTAGGGTGCCATAGATGGTGTCGCATTTGTCGCTGTTATTGGATGCCTTCAGGGGACTGGTGGCGATGTCTGCCGGCGAGTGAAGTGGACTGGCATTTCGTGGGTTGGGGCTGAGGGTGTTGTTATGGGTGATGTGCTTCTCATCGTCCAGTGTGGGTGTGACCTTGTAGATGGTGTTGCTGAGGGAGTTGGATCGGGCGTGGGTGTTGTTAGCCAGACTACAACCGGTGTTGACCAAGCAAGGCTGGGTAAGAGCCGGAGGTTTGCTGCCAGAATGCTTAGGTGTGCAGCCGGAACCGTAGGTAAAGAGCGCCACCGTCTCCATATGTCAGGTGTCGTCCAGGTGGAAGCGGTGGTTGCTGCCGCTGTTGCTGGTGGCCATGAGAGTCCCAAGACGTCGCCCGAGGCCGTAGCCACGATTAGTCATTTGCTCCTGCATGAGGTTGAAGCAGGTGGCGATGAGTGCCATCCCAACCAGCAGGTAAAAAGCCGCTCCCAGTAGTGCTACCTGAACACCCGTGCTCACGTTAGGTGTTGTCTCCGGCGCAAGGTCCCCGAAGCCGATGGTGGTAAGGGAAGAAAAGCAGAAGTAGATGGCGTGTAGGAAGGACCACTGGTGGGCGTAGGCAAAGACAGCGGCGCCCCCACAGATGTATGTGATCATGAGCACCAGGCAGAGGGTGACAGGGACGGCACCAGTCTCCCCGTCACCGTACTCCTCGCCACCGCTGCTGCTCTCGCCACAGTCGCCGCCCCACTTCCTCTGCAAGATTAATATACCGGTCAGTACCGTGCTGGCTGGATCACACACTGGCATAAGCAAGGAATACGTTATTAAGGAAATAAGAATAGTTAACCTACAGTAATCCCAGAACTTAAATATTGGGTGGACAGGGTAATGTTAAACCAGTATGGTGATATTTGGGTCATAGTGTGGTAACACTGCAACAGTTTACAAGTATATGCTAAGATGTAGACCAAGACTGATAATTCAGTAATTACGTATCCCTTGTGGTTTTATTAAATATTTTTAGTACTGTGCTTTCCTTCTTCCTTCTGACAGCTTTCCATTTAATATCTTTACAACTCCTCGTTACATGATTTAGTTCTCGTAGTCGGGAACAGAAACTATTAGGATAATCGAGATTCATCCCCCCACCTTCCAGGTCAACTTCTGATCTTCTCCAGAATACAACTCAATAGTTGCCTAACTCCCGGGTACCTATTTACTGCTAGGTGAACAGAGGCATCAGGGCAGCACTAATAATAGCCAGGGTCTAGCATTTTACGTCAGCACTATGGTAGGTCAGTAATATTATGCCTGGTTAGTATTATGTTGGCAGGTCAGCCACATGGTACTAGGTCAGCATTATGGTACTAGGTCAGCATTATGGTACCAGGTCACCTCCCTCCATGGTACCAGGTCACCATTAAGTTACCAGGTCACCCCCCCATGGTACCAGGCCACCATTAAGGTACCAGGTTACCCCCTTTGGTACCAGGTCACCTCCCCATGGTACTAGGTCACCATTAAGGTACTAGGTCACCATTAAGGTACCAGGTCACCCCCAAGGTACCAGGTCACCATTAAGGTACCAGGTCACCATTAAGGTACCAGGTCACCATTAAGGTACCAGGTCACCATGCACCAACGCAGCACTCACCGCTCACGTGCGTAATCACACCAAGAGTGGGAGATGAAGGTGTATGTTCCCGCACTGTTAACGAAGCGTTAAGAGCCGTCCAGTTCGGAGCGCCGAGTCATTATACTAAATTCAGCGAGATACGCTAGCCATATCTACCACTTCTGGCCTTGATATCTGCGAACCAGTTGCAGTTTCACGGCGAAACGTGTCGGAAAGGGGGTTAAGGGAGGGGGGATGGGGGTGAGGGGGGTATGATCATGCTACACAAACTACTTCCGGTCAAATTACAAGCTAGCATACAGCGCCGCTCTTGTGCCAGGGAAGTCCACCACGAGCTCACCATAGCCCGTGTTACTGAGGACTTTTGGTTCCCAGTAGATGAATCTAAAACAATAACAACATACAAGCTGGCATTAACTTGTGTGCGTGGGTGTACTGTCCAACTCCACACCACTGGGATACAGGCCAGGTTCGATAACCGCTCTTTCACCAAATCCTCCATAAAAGTGTTTGGATTCCTCTCTAGCGAATATCCCGAAGCCCTATTTTTGTCTTTAAAGTATTGTGAAATTTACGTGATTCACTTTGCTGATACTCGAAAGCATTTCACCGTAGAGATAATGTTTTGTGCTGCTCCACTATTTGTACCCTTCCTATCCTTCTAAGTTACTTTTTGTAGTGCTTTATATCCACCTTTCTTCGCTCCTTATTATTTTGTTCACTGCACAAATTATTGGCATTTATCTCTTCTCGCAGTGTTGCCATCCATCTCCTTCCCTTCGTTCCACCTTTTGTCTTCATCAAACATACTGACCAAGACAACACAAATAATAAACGTTGCAATTCATTAATTCCTTCATAATGCCTCACTTGGATATTCTTTTGTGTTAGCGTCCTTGGCCTCTATGGTCACGTTATCCGCCTCGTCCAGCGTGGTGGGCCGCCCCGCCTCTCCTCCCCACAAAGGAGCGTCAAGCTACTTCCCTAACCAAATTTTCTGGGAATTTTAGGTAAAATTTGTATTTGTAGGTATTAAACAGGTGGCAAGGTGTTGACAGGTGCTAGGGTATTAGACAGGTACTAAGGGATTGACCAGTGCAAGGGTATTAGACAGGTGGCAGGGGTATTAGGCTGGTGGCAGGGTTATTAGGCTGGTGGCAGGGGTATTAGGCTGGTGACAGGGTATTAGGCTGGTGGCAGGGGTATTAGGCTGGTGGCAGGGGTATTAGGCTGGTGGCAGGGGTATTAAATGAAAGGGGTTTGGGGTATACCTTGGCGTGGTCATGGCTGGTGTAGGTGTTTCCATAGTCTCTATCTCTCCTCGTGCCCCGCCTACCACCCTTGTTGTACCTCTTGCGTTATAATTTAACTATTTGTGACGTTCGAAGTCTTTGTCGAATCTGTCCTTAAATGTTTGAAAGGAGGTAGACAATTTCTCCTCCCACTGCATGCCATTTATTGACCACCTGCTTGAGGTACGAGGATTCACTTACATTTCTTTGATTCATTTGTGTTTCCAGCTTTCACGTGTGTCCTCTTGTCCTACTTTCAATTGAAAGAGACTGTCCTTCACCACCTCGTCTATTTCCCTCAGTATCTTGCATCTTGTGATCACATCTTCTCTGTTTCTTCTGTCGACCAAAAGGACAGAAGTTCCTTCAACTTATCCTCGTAGCTAAACTCTCTTTGTTATTGTTGTTAAACTCTCTAAGTTATTGATTCCAGGCCGGTGCCGTATATTTTAGTATGGGTCTAACAAAACCTGTAGATTGTCTTTAAAGAGTCGTGAGTTAACTTTGTAAACGATTGTATAATGATGGCCAGCGTCCCACATGCTGCTTATGTCACCGTGTCTGTGTGTGCCTCTGGTGTTAGTATTGGAATTATATCCACTTCCAAATCTCTTTCTCATATTCCAGTAGTTGTCTTCCATTTATTATGTAGACACATTCTGATCTTCTCCCTTACCCATCTTCATTACCTTACACTTATTGGGACTAATCTCCAGGAACCATTTGTTTGCCCACTCTTGAAATTTCTCAAAGTTTTCTTGCAAAATGTTGCAGTTCTTTTCTGTCTTGATATTTCTCATCAGCTTTGCATCATCTGCAAACATTAACATGAACAAGCTCATTCCCTCGAGTAGATCGTTAACATAAATTAGGAAGAGTAGTGGTGCCAGGACCAAGCCTTGGGGGACCCCACTTGTTACACTCCTCCAGCTGGAGACCTCACCTCCTACTGTGACTCTTTGTCTCCTGTCCTTCAGGTACTCCCTTACCCAGTTTAGAGTCCTCCCAATTATACCAGCTACCTTCTCCCTCTTGTACACCAGTCTTTCGTGAGGAACAGTATCAAAGGCTTTTTGACAGTCTAGGAGAATGTGATCAACCCAGCCTTCTCTTTCCTGTCGTATTCTAGTGACGTTGTCATATTACTCAATCACATTTGTCAGGCACGACTTTCCCTTCTAAAACCATGATATCGTTTTGTTGCAAAATTTAACCTTTCCTGGTGCTCCACTGTTATTATCCTGATTACTCTTCCCCAGCACTTTACATTGTGTACCTTGGTGGGGTCGACGGTGGTGTAGGGGGCTGGGGGCTGGTGGTTGGCTCTGGAGACTGGGGGTCGCCGGCGACATCTGCACATCCTCCACCACAACCACTTGAGGGCCCGGGACAACAGGTCTCCTGTAGGAAGGAAGAGTCACATTTTAGGTTTAATAGCTTTTGAGGGCGACCACGTGAAGCACCCAGAACACGCGAGCCTCACTTTACACGGAGCTGGTACAGTCCCCCAACCTGTCCTCTTAAAAATAACGTCGCTTATGGCCGTTTACCCGTATGGCCGAAAGTGGACGTAATTTGAAAATAGAAAAAAATGAAAATAAATTTGGGATTTATTTTTTCAACAACAGTAAGTCAAGGGTTCCTGATAGGTTAGGAGGGCAGGAAATTCTCATAAAGTTTCAAAACGTTAATTGAAAGTTTCCTCTTCTAACCTTACCGAGTAAGCCGGACAACTCAAACAGAAAACGGGACAGTACGTCACTTTTGTGAGTCGATTTCATTTCAAATTACGTTCAAATTTGGCCATAGTGAGCATACGAGCCAAAAGTGACGTTATTTTTAAGAGGACGGGTTGCAGCCTCACCACCAGGCGCTGTAACTGTAACTACAGTACTGTAGTTAAATCGACTTCAGAATGGTCCAGGACGGACCGAAACCTCGTCGTCCCTTCACTTTCTAGTGTGTAGTTTGGTCAACATACTTCAGCCACGTTATTGTGACTCTTCGCCTGCATACAGTACTGTAATTACTCTACCACCCCTTGTAACTTTAGTGCAGATTTAAGGCCAATCAAAACTGTTTATTTTTAAGTTGGTCAACATAGATGTAAATGTATTAGCTGTAAGAAGATGGGGTGGAGTTCTTGTAGCATTATGAGAGTGTAAACAGTTTACCACCGCCCAAGTCATGGTCATGTGGTCCATAATTAACTAATTAAACCATCTTTGTGAGGATTAAAAAGTGGCAATGAAATGTTCTTGTACTGATATTATATATCCTTATACTGTACAGCTTGGCCAGTGACCTTTGTGTTGACTTGTAGTGTAGGTAGAGTCTTCAGGGTATGTCATCAGTGTGTAGCGTAACAAGGCATCCAATCAGAAAATGCATTTTACTATTTGTTGAGTCAACTACCTGCTAAATTAAAGAGAAATGTCTGTTCCAACACGACCCCTGGAGCTACAGTACTGTCTAGAGACTGTGAAACTCACGCAGATGGACTCATACTTCAGTGCAACATTATTGAGACCTCACTGGCTACCTGCAGTCTCTCCTCACACCTGTGAGAATAGTGAGGATGTCTATGCACTCCGCCCGAGTGAGTACCGCCCGAGTGCCGCGGACTGAGCCTATAGCGTCGCCACTCCTCTGGGCCGCGATCGCTCACGCGCGATAACGAAGCGATATGTATCAATAAAACTGATCACTCGGTAACCAAAAGCAGTAAAAACGTATGTTTTTGCATGTTTATCTCAAATTAATTTCCTTATCTTAGGAAGATGTGGCATATGACTGCACACGTTATTTTCTGAAATAAATGAGAATGCTTGCATGTGACCTTTAAGGAGTTGATTGTGTATGTTCTAGGAGGGTGAAGCACGCAAGAGGAAAGACGCATGTCATGAATCAAGAGGAAGAGGCAAGACGCAGAGAAGCTGGCCGTGAATCAAGAGCAAGAAGCAAGAAACACAAAGACGCATGCCATGAATCATGAGGAAGAAGCAAGACGCAGAGACGCGCGCCATGAAACAAGAACAAGAGGCAAAAATCAAAGGTAATGGAAGTGAGGAAAGGTGCGGAGAGGCTCATTGAAACTGAACAGAAGGTGTGTAAGGAGGAAGACAGCAAGAGACTCCACGAGAGCTTCAGAGTTGAGGAAGGAGACGTACCGGAACTGAGAGAGGTAGCGCTAAACCAAGCATCATTGGAAGAATTTAAGATTACCGGTGGTGAGGTAAGGAAGCGTCTCCTGCAGCTGGACGTGGCCATCACTGTTGGTCCATACAGAATCTCATTATGGCTACTAAAAGAGGGACCAGAAATATTATGCTTGCCATTCTTTATGGTGTATAATAGGTCACTGGCAACAGGAGAACTAACAGAAAGTTGGAAGACAGCTAATGCAACCCTGATATAAGAGAAGGCAGACAATCCGGAGACACTGAACACCGCGCCAGTGTCCCAAACTTGTATACCATGCATGGTGATGGAAATTGTATAGCCATCAAAATTAATTGCATTTTGTTAATGTTTAGTAATTAACAAAATTTGTGAGAAAAATCTAGTAGCACATCTGGAGAGAAGGAACTTTGTAACACATCACCAGCATGGATTCAGGGATGGTAAAACTTGCCTCACAGGCTTAATAGAATTCTGTGACCAAGCGACAAAAATTTGACAAGAAAGAGAAGGGTGGGCAGACCATATTTGTTGTTGTCAGAAAGCCTTTGACATCGTGCCCCATAAGAGACATGGAAGAGATGGAAAAGCAGACTGGAGTGACAGAGAAGGTACTCCAGTGGATAAGAGAGTGCCTAAGTAACGCAGTCCCCGTGGCGTAGTGGTAAGTCGCTCGTCTGGCGTTTCGCGAGCTCTTTGTCGTGGGCTCGTATCCGGGCCGAGGAGGATTTATTGGGCGCAAAATTTGGAGGGGAGGATTTTACCTTTACCTTACTTTACCTTGTGTACCACATATATACCAGTCCTAGTGTATGCGGCTCCAACGTGGAAGCGGTAAAGCACAAGACGAAACTGGAGAAGGTTAAAAGGTAACCAGAATAATCCCGGAGCTGAGAGGTGTGAGTTATGAGGAAAGACTGCAGGATTTTAAGCTCGTCGTTGGACGACAGAAGGGTTAGAGGAGACATAATAACAACATACAAAATTGTTAGGGGATTGATAGTGTAGATAAAGACAGATCATGTAGCACGGGTGGTGTACGAAGAAGGGGACACAGGTGCAAACTGAGAAGCCAATGAGACGTTAACAAATATTTTTTTGTCAATAATGAACAAATGGTAAATTTTTGTCAATAATTAACAAATGGTAAATTTTTGTCAAATAACAACAAATTAACATCATTAAGAAATGATGTGGTGGAGCAGACTTCAGTACACAGTTTCAAATGTAGATATGATAGAGCCTAATAGGCTGAGGGACTTGTACACCAGTTGATCGACAGCAGACAGGCAGGACCAAGGAGCCGAAGCTCAACCTGCGCAAGCACAATTACACGAGTACGTCATGAATGACGAGCAAGCGGCAGGAAACACAGGCTTACCAGGAACAAAAGAGAGTCAAGTGCTTAAGGTAAGGCAAGCGACGTCATTAGCACTGGTGAGGAGCAGTCGAGGCCAGACATCCTCCCCTCCATGCGTGACGCCAGGTGGAGGCTGTCATTGTGGACCTGGTTCACCCGTCCACCACACTACCACCCGGGTAAGCGCCACACTACCACCCGGGTAAGCGCCACACTACCACCTGGGTAAGCGCCACACTACCACCCGGGTAAGCGCCACACTACCACCTGGGTAAGCGCCACACTACCACCTGGGTAAGCGCCACACTACCACCTGGGTAAGCGCCACACTACCACCTGGGTAAGCGCCACACTACCACCCGGGTAAGCGCCACACTACCACCTGGGTAAGCGCCACACTACCGTGGTGCGTTCTTAAGCAGCTGTCTCACGCTCATGGTTTGATCACTCTCTGTAATATCGACCAATACTAATGGTTTTTGGGTCTTGTTTTCAAGTGAGAAAGTAATTTATTAATCAGTGAATACGAAATGTCCTTGAGAACGAGTGACCAGTGTGTGAGCCTTAAATATGTGATGTAAATGAAAATCAGTAAAGGGTAAGGTGAGGTAAGTATGAGAAGAGCCGCTCTAAGCCAGTATGATAATATAGCCTTCATCAACCTCGACAACGACTACTGGGAATACAAGTGCAGGGGAGCAGGACGGATCCTTCGCCTGGTCGTCCTTCAAGAACGCCTCGACCACCTCTGTGACGACGACAACCTGAAGAAGTAAATTCGACCAGACTACCAACATCGGGGAACTGGGGATTAGGAAACCAATCTTCTTGTAACACCGGACATCTCCCCCTAGACCGGCCGACTGGGGATTAGGAAACCAGTCTTCTTGTAACACCGGACATCTCCCCCTAGACCGGCCGACTGGCCAGCCCGCTGACAGCCCTCCTGACTCCCGTGGCACTCAGCTGTGAGCGGCGTGTGTACATCAATTCACAGGTCTAACCAGGCCTGTGGTCTTGATTGTATTGGCGCGTCCATGGCCCCCTCCCCCCACCTCCAGTATCGGCTATTGATACAGATAATGGCTCCAAAGAATCTCCTCTCACGGGCTCACCATAGCCCGTGTTACTTGAAAATTTTGTTCCAGTAACTGAATCTAAAACAACAACAACAATGGACAAGAGGCCCTTGAGTATACAGCTCAAGCCTAAAATCTCCATCTAAAAACGTACAAATTGAAACTGACAAGAAAATGTTAGTGCCAGAGCTGAGGAGATTAAACTACAAGGACCGGCTGAGAGGATAAAGGAAGAGTCGTCTATTCTCTACACTAGAAAGAAGAATCAGAGGAGACATGTTAATAACGCACCATATATAATGGGACCACACAGTGGAGAAGGTGACGGTCGGCCGAGCGAACAGCACACTGGACTTGTGATCCTGTGGTCCTGGGTTCGATCCCAGGCGCCGGCGAGAAACATTGGGCAGAGTTTCTTTCACCCTATGCCCCTGTTACCTAGCAGTAAAATAGGTACCTGGGTGTTAGTCAGCTGTCACGGGCTGCTTCCTGGGGGTGGAGGCCTGGTCGAGGACCGGGCCGCGGGGACACTAAAAAGCCCCGAAATCATCTCAAGATAACCTCAGGAAGATAACGGGTGTGGCGCTGTAGAGGCACACCCCCTACACACCCCCAAGACACGCCGGGCGACCACTCCACGGGTCGCATCACCGAGTCATCTGTCTCATCTCTGGAGGAAGCTGATGATGAAGGAGGTGAGAGTGATGATAACAAGGGAGGCCAAGATGAGGACGCCCATGACGGAAAATGATCGCTCAGCTGAGGAATATGACTGGCGCTGATGGTGTGCGGATTTGTGATTGTGAAAACTGATTGTGACCAGGAAGGTGGCGGTGGTAATGCTGCTAAGGCTGGAGATAATGTTCTTAACAATACTTATAATAATAATAATAATAATAATAATAATGGTAATGCAGCATTCACTTTAGTGTGAACATTCACCTGAGTGTGAACATTCACCTAAGTGGGAACAGTCACCGGAGTGTGAACAGCTTCACCCGCTTCTGCCAGCTGCAAGTCTCTCGCTGTTCTCGCACTGACACGACACACCCTCTACATTCTCTTAAAGTTTACACACAACCAAAAAAAACTTTTCGCTTGGCAAGCAAATGGTGAATTATAAAAAAAAAAATTGCGGTTGGAAGGTGAGAGCAGCGCGGGGAGCGAGAATCACACACCATCGCCCCCAGCCTCCACGCCGTCAGGAACAACGGGCTCCCCGCTGGATATATCTCGGCTGGATAATGTGCTCGCCCGTTGCTTAGTGCTCACACACTTACCGCCAGAACTATGGGGAAAGTCCCCTGAAGGTGAAGTGGCGGCGGGGTCGTGTTAACGCGTAAACAGATAACACCAGAGAACCCGGAATATGTGGACACTTATGGCAGGAGGCTTTCATACAGCAGTGTTTATCATGCGCGTGTGTGTGGTAGGGTTGGTGAGGAGAGGTGTAGGGGGTGGGTAGGCGAAGGTAAGGAGAGGTGACGCTCCTAGCCCGGGAGAGGTGTAGGGGTGGGTAGGTGAAGGTAAGGAGAGGTGACGCTCCTAGCCCGGGAGAGGTGCAGGGGTGGGTGGACGCGGGGTAAGGATAGCTGGCGCTCCTAGCCTGGGAGAGGTGCAGGGTGGGCGGACGTGGGGTAAGGATAGCTGGCGCTCCTAGCCCGGGAGAGGTGCAGAGTGGGTGGACGTGGGGTAAGGATAGCTGGCGCTCCTAGCCCGGGAGAGGTGCAGGGTTGGCGGACGTGGGGTAAGGATAGCTGGCGCTCCTAGCCCGGGAGAGGTGCAGGGTGGGCGGACGTGGGGTAAGGATAGCTGGCGCTCCTAGCCTGGGAGAGGTGCAGGGTGGGCGGACGTGGGGTAAGGATAGCTGGCGCTCCTAGCCTGGGAGAGGTGCAGAGTGGGTGGACGTGGGGTAAGGATAGCTGGCGCTCCTAGCCCGGGAGAGGTGCAGGGTGGGCGGACGTGGGGTAAGGATAGCTGGCGCTGCTAGCCCGGGAGAGGTAGTGAAGGTGGGAGAGGAAGATGAGGCAGACAACAAAGAAGAAGAGCGAGGGGCCGTGATCCTGGTGATCCACCACCTGAGCCACTTTTCATAAAGATTGCAGACAGACGACGGACGCAAGAAATCTTTTCTTCAACATTTTGGGGCAAACAAGAAAAACTCCCGGGCTCTCAGGGTGATTTTTTTCCCTTATGGGAGCTCACGGGTGACGAGGGAGGAGGAGCTCACAGGGAGAGTTGTGTGAGCTCACAGGGAGAGTTGTGTCAGCTCACAGGGAGAGTTGTGTCAGCTGACAGGGAGAGTTGTCAGCTGACAGGGAGAGTTGTGTCAGCTGACAGGGAGAGTTGTGTCAGCTGACAGGGAGAGTTGTATCAGCTGACAGGGAGAGTTGTGTCAGCTGACAGGGAGAGTTGTGTCAGCTGACAGGGAGAGTTGTGTCAGCTGACAGGGAGAGTTGTGTCAGCTGACAGGGAGAGTTGTGTCAGCTGACAGGGAGAGTTGTGTCAGCTGACAGGAGAGTTGCGTCAGCTGACAGGAGAGTTGCGTCAGCTGACAGGAGAGTTGCGTCAGCTGACAGGAGAGTTGCGTGAGCTCACAAGAGAGAGTTGTGTGAGCTCACAAGAGAGTTGCGTGAGCTCACAGGAATCTTGAAAGTTCTTAAGAATGGAAATGATTTTGCAATTGTGTGCCTACTATTTGGAGTGAAAGCCGCTTGTTGTCAGGTGGTCGTATATATTATGTGTACTAACCTGCTCCTTCCCTTCCCTTCCTCCTCTTCCATCCCTCCCTCCCTCCCTCCCTCCCTCCCTCCCTCCCTTCCATCTCATCTCTCCTTACAACTTTTCCCCTCCATAAAAAGTACTAATTGGTAGTCCCCATAATGTGTCTTATTATAAGTGAAGCTCTTAGGTAGAGGGAAATATATAAAATGTTGTTTCATAAAGCGAGTTAGGTGAATTTACTGCAGGTTTCCTCTTAAGCGTATACCAGACGAGACGTTGCCAGGCGACACACAGTTGCAACATTTTACAAGAAGATGCTCTCAACTTTATGTTTTGCAAGCGACTTGAATGTAATAATTTGTCATGAGGGGTTGTGGGAGGGGGAGGGGGGGGAAGTAACGATAGTGCTCTTTGATGTTGTTGCTCGAAAGCTTATTAGTGGCTTCAGGCATTGTATGTACTAGCTCTATCTAGGATTCCAACATTATGTTTGTAACTCATCTTCTATGTATGTACTTTTACCTGAATATACATTTTGATTGATTTTTGATGTTGTTAGTCTTTTGAGCATGTGTTCGTGTGTCAGGGCGAGACAGCCGCTGTATTGTGGCTGTAGTGACGTCATCTGTCACTACACTTACGCCTAGCACAGCCCGTCCACATTAATAATGGCGAAATAGTCGTTAATCCGTATATATCAACCCCCCCCCTGTCTGTGAATGAAAAACATTTGACACGCGACTCTTACACGACTTACAAGTCAGCTTGTCCTCAGGCCAAGAAAAATGTACAGAAATGATTCACTCATGTACAATAAAATCAAATAATTCCCAACAGAACCAAAACACATATGAACTAATAAGATCTAAGCCTAAGTATCCACCAAATACTAATATATAATAATGGAACCCGTCCTCCTGTTTAGATAGTACCTGTTGTGACGATCGACTATCGTCAGAATTCGTACGTTCTTAGCTTTTAGATAGTAGTATACTGACTAGTAAGGAATTCTTGTAAAATAAACGAAGCTAAAACAACAGAAACTTAAATATTCCTAGGCCTAGTATAGCACAAATATGTATTATATTAGGCCTCAGATATAGTGTATTAGGCCTAGGGAGGTTAGGATAGGTTAGTTTGTCAAAGCAAGACAAGTAAGAAAAAATTCCGGTTTGTCCACGTCAATAGTTCAGATTTCTACTTTCTAATTTCGTTGTACGTCGGTATATATACTATGGTCCTCATCGTTACTATACTACCAAAACAGGAGGATGGGCTGAATAATATTAATTTTTATTTGAGAAAACACAGTACGTTAAACTTGCTGAATGCGTTTTTGAATACAAGCGTCGGACGCAGCCTGATGTCGGGCTGCCCAGCAACACCACCACCGGGAGAGTCCAAATGGTTTGTGTATGAAGAACGGATATCGCTCTTACAAATATACCGCACCAATGAACATACTAAAAATAGTACGAAATGCTAATATCAACAACAGTTGCAGATACGCAAGAAAAAGTGCGAGAATGAGTAAGATAAAGACGAAACTAGACCGAAAAAAAGATAGCGTAAGAGAAACAAAACAAAATTACAAAAAGGTTTACCAGAGGTTTACCAGAGCAAAGGTTTACCAGAGCTGGTGACCTGGCAGAGCCCAACAATTCCCGGAGCAGGATGCCCACAAAAAACAGCTGACGTAATGTGTTCCAGAGTAAACATGAAAGAGACGCACAAATTGCTAAACCGACGAGTGTGCTGGCAATTAGTGGCGAATTACAAGTAGTCGAGAAGGGCTTTGCTGGAGAGTCTTTTGTTGCACCTCTTGTCATAAATTTACATTATTCACCTGAACGGAATGGGACAAAATATGCGGTGGATAGAAGTGAGGGATTGTGTTGATTAAGCCGAGGCTGATGATGAATAATGAGTCTGATTAGCGGCAGATATAATCGCGATACTCGTGTCAGATTGGACAGGAGTGAACGCCAACGATAATCTATTTGGCGTATATGTAGAAGAATGTTGACATGAGGGCGAGGCTGCTTTTTCTTGTCGAGAATGCAACATATTAGCTAAATGTAGCCACAGCCTGTACGGAGTTACCCCTCCACCATCTTCCCTCCCTATATGGAGTTACCCTCCTTAATGTTTCCACTCCCGAGAGAAACGCCAAAGAAATATTTCCCTAAGTCTCTAAGTCACGGGGTGCACATGTGTCTTGTCCGGGGTGCACATCTGGGCCTTGTACGGGGTGCACATCTGTGCCTTGTACGGGGTGCACATCTGTGCCTTGTACGGGGAGCACATGTGCACATAAGTTGTTAGGAAATTCTTCTCAACTAAATTTGCCTAAAGGTTGAACTCGAGGTCACGAGTATTTTCTCACGAATGATCAGATAGCTTCTAAGTTACAATTATATAGGGTAATGAAAAATATGCACATCACTCAAACACCTTGGGGTCTGGCCAGCAACTGGGTTGATGAATCTGTGTGGATACTCTAGCACTTGCTTATGCAGACGACGAGTCACAATACCGTGACTTGAAGGTATATTTGGACATCATAAGATTAGGTTAGTTGGGTCTGGATGACTAATGATGTGTCGGGGGCAGTCAGATCCGTTCTCTATATTTATGGGCATCTGTGTTGCGTCTGTCACTGCTGACTGTGTAGCGAATTTTGAGGCTGAACTTTGTTATCTGTCTCCTGTCGTCCCGCGTCATTCCTGGTCGATATCTTCCTTTGTCTCTGTCACGCACGAAGAGTCTGTAGGAACATGAGGTCACAACTTGCCTGCTGAAGAGAGGTAGAGGAGTATGAGGGGTGACAACTTACCTGCTGAAGAGAGGTAGAGGAGCATGAGGGGTGACAACTTACCTACTGAAGAGAAGTAGAGGAGCATGAGGGGTGACAACATACCTACTGAAGAGAGGTAGAGGAGCATGAGGGGTGACAACTTACCTACTGAAGAGAGGTAGAGGAGCATGAGGGGGATGCCGAGGAGGGCGTAGATGATGGTAACAACTCTGCCCATCACCGTCTGTGGCGCCACTGAGCCGTAACCTGTCGAGGAGAACACTAGGTCAGCTGACTCATTCAACCACCGTCCTGGTAACTACTACTACTACGTACAATAGAATTTAATTAGATTAACATTAACATTGCTAGGTGAATTGTGCAAGGTAAGAGCCGGCGTGCAAACGTTGCAAGGTGAATTGTGTCACCCAGTGCTCATTCAGTGGTGTCCCGTCCCCTCCCTCGAAGAGTTGGCTCCAACACACTCTGGTAGTAACACCAGTCTACGGGCTCACCATAGCCCGTGCTACTTTGAACTTTTTGTTCCAAGTAGCGAATCTTAAACAACAACAACTCTGGTAGTTATTTATCCCCTCGCTTATTTCCTTGGTGTTATAAATCTGGCTAAGTGGTCATTCACGCACAATAGTTTGGTTACTTGTTCATTCACAGACTTAACACACATTTGACTACTTAGTCATTCACAGTCATGTGTCATCTGATGTGACTACAGTATAATGTGTCGTGGCGTGTCCTTTACTCTAGGATGCTGAATCATTCTCATTCTCCTCTTGATTGCGCATGCGTATTTTTTTTTATTCTCTGTAAATATTAGCTATACGACCTATCTCCTTTTCTTGTAAGAGTATACGTTTAATAGCTTGATAACGCCATATCTTAATAACCTGCAACATAAAATTATTTAGTTTGGAACAAAATTTTATGACTGATACTGACATTGAACATTGTAGCCTATTGATTTGTTTTCCTCATTCCGTGTAATATTTAGATTAATCCTTATCGTATTAACTTGAAACTGACAGCACTTATGCGTGATAATAAGACTAAAGTTTCTATTGTTATTGAGTATTGTATTCCAGTTACAAATCTTGATCTCATATTTTGTTATATCTTGTTTAATTAAGAATTGGAGGGGATAATTTTGACATGCCCGTCTTTGGGCGGGGAGAGGCTTCATTGGTCGGCTACAATCAAAACTTAACTACTTTTGAACTGCTGTTAAATTACATATTACATTACATACATGTTATGAAACAGAAGACAACGTAGTAGAAGACAGTATTAGAATACAGATAAATAAATAAAGCTAGCTGATGCATGCAACAGTCCGCGAGATATTTCCCTGAACTTTAACGTAAATCATCACAGGTCTTTAAACTATATTCTGTGTATATAAATAGACCGCCTCTTAAAGCCGGATAGCTCGGTGGCATTGATGAAGGTATGCGCGTGTTAAAGAAAGATGGTTGTTTTGTTAGTGGAATTACTTCACGCCCGGATAAGATAAGCAAATATAATACAAATGCATCACCCACGAATAACTACACACACACTGGGTGTGTTGTGTGGGTTGGGACGCCTCGGGTGTAGCAAAACAAGTGTTCCTACCTCAGCATCATAATAATGGTCTATTATTTCATTCATTTTCGCTAAGAACTTAATTTTGTTTGTATTATATTAATTAGTTTGAGGTCCTCTTTGAGCTTAATACTTCTCTTGATGTATAAGGAGAGTGATTAGCATAATAATTTCGCATTCATATTCTCTTAATTAATTATTCATGTTAAGGAACGTCAGTTTACTGTACGCTAAGTATCACTAAGTGTTATAATCTCACTTATTTTTATTATTATTATTATTATTATTATTATTATTATTATTATTATTATTATTATTATTATTATCTTCATATTAGTAGGAGTAGTATTAATATTTTTTTCTTAGTAATATAGCCCATAAATATCTTAAGGTCCACGTATGCACGCACGCACACACACGCGCAGGCACACCCGCGCAGGCACACACACACACACACACACACACACACACACACACACACACACACACACACACATTGTATCTGTATCATATCTAGGTGGTAGTGTTGGAGAGAGCTATACAAATAGTCTGGTCTCCCCAAAACCATAAATATACCGAGATCAGCAACAGAAGGTTGAGAAAGACGATTATTAAAAAAGGATATACAAATCTGGGATTTTTTTAGTAGGGCTACTGAACCAAAGCTTAAAACAAAGATGGCGGATTTGACAGGATCGTTAGTGAGTTCAAGGGAAGAAATTTTCAAGCGTTTTACTAAGGAAGAAATAGGGAAAGAAAATCTTGGCAGGTTAGTGAAGGCTGGGGATTTGCAAATGGTGTATGAAGGAAAGTTTATTGAATTAGAAAAAATGTAGATCTTGAAAATAAAATTAGTATTTTACAAGGAAGCATTTTGCAGCAAGAGAAGGAAATTACCAGCTTCTCTGACATGGTAAGGAGTCGGGAACGACAAATCAAGGAACTAGTGAAAGAAAATGAGACGTGGAAAATAAAGGGGGGAGGAGTTTAAAGAAGTTAACGGGAAAATAAACAAATATGGAGAACTCAGAGGAGCCATACATGTACCTCATAGAAAGAAATGACATATTAATATACCTGCCAGTATGGTTTTAAAACAGGAAGAGCCTGTATGACATATTTACTTAGTTTTCATGACAGACCTGGATACATCTCTATGGGAATGTATATATGTATATGGGAAACCATAATTAAGGGCAATCATTACATGTAAAAAATAGGAATAATACCAGGGATGTTTCGTACTGTTTGAAGTACACGTTCTCTGGCACAGTCGAAATGAAACTAAAGCGCGGTGATGTATTCAATTTTCCCTGGTGTGTGAATAAGTTCATTTTCGCTGGATACATTGTATATGTATATGTATACATTGTATGTATCAATATTGGCGGTTATGCATGCCTGGGTCCAAAGGTTACCAGTAAAATGTTTAGTAAGGAATGCGCCTGCTGCTGCTACTGATATGTTAATGATAGTTATATTACTAATTACGTTAATTATAATTGATTTTATTGTCTTCGGCTTAGTAAAGGCGTCTCAACCTCAAATATGTATGTTCGCTTTTTGTTTAAACAATTATCAGGCGCTTCGTGTATACATGTTCAATAATTATGTACAAAATTAACAAGCACCCCATTTATACATATACACTGGTTATGTCATACATTAAGGGGAACAAACAGAAGTTACTTATCGTGTCTTTTCTTCAGTATATAATGCTTTTCTCTTATTGTATTGGCAGTTAAAACTTTGTAAATTGGAGTGTAAATGTATATGCTATTTAAATTAAAAATGTTCTCAATTTCTTGAATACAAAAAATGGATTAACGACATTAATATGATATTGCAGACAGCTACGTTGCATAAAATTATATATTTAGCAAAAAAATCAGCTGTCGTCAAGAAGTTTCCTCCACTTTTGTTTAAACACTAGAAAACTAGCCTAACAAAACTTATTTTAACCTAAATAAACCTAACGTAGCCTAAGTACGCAAAAGTAGCCTAACTAAATGTAAACTAGCCTAATCAAACCTAACGTAATTTAACTAAACCTAATGTGGTCTAACTGAATTAACGTAACGTTCTCTTGAAAACTTGGCAAAATAATCTAAGAAACGTGCTTAAAATGTAAGGCCAGTGATTAACATTTGTAATCTAGGACGATAATAGATTCGCACTATTCGTTTCTTGCTGTACAGTTAATATTTGATCTCCCCCCTTCCCCCCCCATCTCTCTCTCTCTCTCTCTCTCTCTCTGTTCTCTCCAAAATGCAATGTTCATATTTTATCCATATTTTACTTTTGTATGTATTGTGTTAAGCAATATATTTGGCCAGGATTTCTTTTATTCTAAATGTAGCTATAACTTTCCCCAGCTTGCTGGGCGTACTATGTTCTCCACATTAGTATTTACATATAAATTCTCTACCGCTGTATACATATTTTGTTGAATAAAATTGCACATATTTTGGGTGTGTGAGTATGCCCGTGCGCGCACACTGTACACATAAAAAAACATTATAGATATTCTAATTTATTTCATAGAATATGTATACAAATTTTTTTTTATTAACAAGCTTAGGTATACACATCAATGTGCTATATTCTATATGTGCTATACCCTATTCCATATGAAAGATTACACAGTGTAGATAAAAAAACCTAGTTATACGTTTATCTAATATTCCCCATCTCACAGGATAGTTAGTCATACATGGAATCAGGAGAGAAAATACCGGCCAATACACGCACACAAAAAAATTGACTAAGTAATAACTTCATGGTTTTCCTAAGAGTTAAGCAGTGAATCATGGACATATTATAATTATTTTTGTACCAGTTTCTATAAGATTCCTCTCAAATACATTTTTTTTCAAGGTGGAGAATTTTCATATAAATATATATTTTTCCATTAATTGTTGTATTTAGTGTAAGAGTATATTTACTAGAATATTATGGCTAAGACACACTTGCAAGTATTAGTGTTTATCCATATATTTAACGCAGTAAAATGTATATTTAAGTTTAGGACTTGTAACTGAACAGCAACTTCAAATCTATCAGTATACATAAGGATTTCTTAACATTAATTTGTGAATTAATGTGATTTGTGATTTTATATATATATATATATATATATATATATATATATATATATATATATATATATATATATATATATATATATATATGTCGTACCTAATAGCCAGAACGCACTTCTCAGCCTACTATTCAAGGCCCGATTTGCCTAATAAGCCAAGTTTTCATGAATTAATGTTTTTTCGTCTACCTAACCTACCTAACCTAACCTAACCTAGCTTTTTTTGGCTACCTAACCTAACCTTACCTATAAATATAGGTTAGGTTAGGTTAGGTAGGGTTGGTTAGGTTCGGTCATATATCTACGTTAATTTTAACTCCAATAAAAAAAATTGACCTCATACATAGAGAAAAGGGTTGCTTTATCATTTCATAAGAAAAAAATTATAGTAAATATATTAATTCAGGAAAACTTGGCTTATTAGGCAAATCGGGCCTTGAATAGTAGGCTGAGAAGTGAGTTCTGGCTACTAGGTACGACATATATATATATATATATATATATATATATATATGTATATATATATATATATATATATGTCGTACCTAATAGCCAGAACGCACTTCTC